TAAGGCCAATACTGGCCCTTTACATTTTTAACCACATGGCTGCTGTAAGGTCCCATGCTTGCTGGGGACCTCATGGCAGTTGTTTACAACACCACCTGGCCAACAGCTCATCCTCCTCCTTAGACATGGTGAGACCCGGCACAGCCTCCTGAAATGCCACTTAGTCCTGGTGAGCAACACTGTATGTAACTTCATATTCTGCATTGCTGTATAATGTATTGCTGAGTTTGTAGTCCTTCTACAGCTTGGATTCAGTGGCAAAACTACTAGGGCTGCAGCATTTGCAGCTGTGGTGCTCCACCACTGTCCTAAAATCATTGGTCTGTAGTTGGAAAAAATATCAGTAATTGGTATCAATTAGTTCTTGAAGTTTTGGTACTCGGTATGATATCTGTGCATCCCTGGTTTAGATTAACAGGTATGTTGAGCAGGATTCCTGACTTCACTTGCTTGGTCCAGGTCAGAAATTCTAAGTATTTAACCAAGGGACAAGCATGGCAGCCATTAAGCAATTTTCAGGAGGTTGGCAATGGCAACCCTATCTCTCCATGCTTTCCTTAAAGTGACTCTCTTGCTTTAGTGGCTGACAGTGTGCACCAGGGAACCAGGCATTCAACTCTCCTAGGGTTGGCTGCAAGATTCTGCTGATGCTATAAATCTTTAAAACCCCCACAGACAAAGTCAGTCTGCCACAGAGGTAAGTATTCATTTTTTTTTTTCTGTTGCTAGAGGCATTTGGGAAAGTTGCCTAACTCTGTTGTCTTGGATCTCTAATTTACTACATTGCATAACTTTGCTGAAACCTTTTTCATCTCAGATTTTTCAACCCATGAGCCCGTCTTGTGTTTTCTTTTGCAGCTGAGTCATAACTATCCAGAAGCGGCACAGCTTGCACACCAGAAGCCTCGCCCTTCTCTGGAGAGGGCTAGTCCTCCGAAAAGGCTTTACATCATCCAGCAGCCACGTAGATGCTAGTTCAGGTGTATGAAGTGACTTGTTGTGATGCTCTCCAGTAAATTACCAACATTTTTGTATAACCAGATAAAAATGTAATTTTTGTATTTCCTAAATAAAGCAGTTATGACATTGTATTCTCCTTGTTTAGCTATTGCTTTACTAAATGGTATTCTAAGTGGCATGCTTAAAGTCTGCCTTTGGACTACTGGCTAACATGAAAACTGCAAATTGCTTCAGCAGAGTGAAGTATAAATGAAATGTTCTCTCAGATTAGGATCTATTCCATACAGTGCCAAAAAACGTTCCAACAAATAAGCGAGTGAACTCTCTGCCAGCACTAATCTTTGCGGTCGATACAACATCTCAAGAAGATGTAAAACTACATAAAACAAAGGTGTGGCACACCAGATGGCGCCATGAAAAGTATAGGGGAACAATCACTTTGGGGTGGGGCAGCACTCAGATCTTAAATTCTTTTGGTCAACAACAATAACCTCCAGTATGGATGGCTAAAAAGGAGCCTGGACTGGACCCTGAAATGGATCCTGTTATGGTCAGGGGTGACTGCTCAGGCTACCACCTCAGTTTGCACCACAGTGAGATGAACTATAAGCAATGCAGAGATTCCTACATGTACAGTACCATGCAAAAACTTATCAACAAATCTATAATGTGTGGAGGAACTAAATTCTTACGGGGGGGAGGAAGAATCTTTAAATGTTCACCTCTTGCTATAACACCTCCAAAAAAGATGGAAAACACGCCTGTGGACAAACTCGAACCTTATACTACACAGAGCTGGGCTTAATGGAGGAGTGTCAAAAGTCATTAACATGCAAATCTGAATTCCATCAAAAGTCATGTGGGACAAATGGCAAACATGAAGTTTCACTCATCTGAGACCAAAACAAAAAGCCTATAATGGTGATCAGCTTTGAAACGGCATTCCTATGGTAGTAGCAGCATGGTCCCCATGTCATTTGGCTGCTTCACTGGCATTATCCATTAACCTAAAACTCCTTTCGGTTTGCAGAAGGACAAACCCTGAGAAAGAGGTTAACATTCCAGCAACACAATTACCCACAGCTAACGCTACACTGGAAGGTTTTGAAATAAAGAACCTGAATGGCTCGGAGTTCAGACATCAATCTGAATCGGTCAAGACTGATTTTATCAACTGTTCCTGTCTGTCCCAACAGGGATTCTATAAAGAGGACACTCAAAAACTTAGACTCC